GCCCTTAATAACAACAACAACAACAACAAGGAGCATTTCAGCTGTACTTCCTCTAAAACAGATTTGTTCGTTCTTCTAGTAGCCCATGGTACATTCAATATTCTTCACTAATGCTACAATTCTAATGCATCAATTCCTCTGTCGTCTTCCTTATTTGTTGTCCAGCTCTCACATGCACGTGAGGCTATTGAAAATACCATGACTTGAGTCAGACGCATTTTATTTTTCAAAATGATATCTTCACTCTTAAACACATTAATGAGGTCTTTTGCAGCAGATTTGCCCAATGCAATACATTATTTCATTTCTTGACTGTTACTGTAGACTGTGGATTGTGGATCCAAGCAAAATCAAATCTCTGATGATTTCAGTTTTTTTCTCCATTTATCATGATGTTGCTTATTGGTCCAGTTGTGAGAATTTTTGTTTTCTTTATATTTAGGTGGGTCAGTAAGGGTCAATTAAAAAAAAAATCTCACTGCCATTGAGTCAGATCTAATTCATAGTGATCCCTCCTTGGTTTTCCGAGGTAATATCACTGCAAAAACACGCTGCAAAAACAATCTTCCTGCTGAGGAGTGATTGGTGGATTTGAACCAGCAGCCTTCTGGTTAGCAGTCAAAAGTCTTAGGCACTGCAGCAACAGAGCTCCCAAGGGTCAATAAGGATCCCCAAATAAAAGAACATGCCATGAATGGAAAATATGTAGAATAAATAACCACAGGAAATCATGACTATCTCTTTAGATTGTATGTTGTAATGATATATATCTCTGATTTAATCAACATTAAAGTTGATTGGGAGTCTCCAACTTACCAAGTATTCGAGTTACAACTAACCACACTTAAGACCATGTTTTGTTTTGTTTTCATCTTATCATTATAATTGTACTATATACAATGTCACAGCACATAATTTGCTGATGTGATCATTCTCATGCCAACCCTCAAAGACATATAAAGAAGGTATTTATAAAGATATTGATGATAAAAGTTAATAATAATGGAAAAAAATGAACGATTTGACTTAAGTCAAAACCAACTTAACAATAGAACCAGCTTACCATGGAGTGTTGGAACAGAACACTGTCCTAAATCTGGTAAACCTGTAATGATTTTGTTTAAATTAATGTTTATAAGGCCCTCACCTGTAGCATTAGCCACTTCATAAAGACTATTTAGACTAAAGAGGACTATATTCTGAAAGAAAGTGAAGTCACTGATGAAGGGTGCTTTATCTCCTGTAACAAGCATTCTTGGTGGCAAGCCCTTCTGGAACTCATGTATTCTGATCAATGTTGTAGGAAAGTTAGAGGCAGCAATATATTCCACAGCCAAACTCCAACTTCTTTCAAAATCTGCTTCTGGTTTAGCATAATTTTGAAGCCTAAAAAGACAAGTGGAAAAGTAAAACTTATAATCAATTTATTCAGAATGTCAACCTTAATGCTTTTGAAAAAGATTATCTTCTACTAACAAATAAAGCTCATAATTTTACTATGTAGCCTATAAATTTTAGAATGTGATAACTTCAACTTGTGCATTTGGAGATATGGAGATAGCTAATTAAACTTTGATGCTGAGAAGAATAATCTTATCAATTCTTTCCATTTTCCTTTAAGCTTTTATCTCATTTAATTTGGTACCTTACAATTGAATATTATATAATATCCAGATGTATGGTTATGAGCGGGAGCTTTGGTGGCATAGTGCCTACAGCATTTAACTGCTAGCCAGAGGCTGGCGGTTGAAACCCACCAGCCACTCCTTGGAAGGAAGGTTGGGCAATCTACTTCTGTAGTGATACTGCCTCAGAAACCCAAAGATGTGCTGCTATGAGTCAGATCTGACTGACAGCAGTAGGTAAGGTTTTGAGTAAGTCATACTCTTTGGAAATGTATAGATAAAAATCAGAATTTCTAAGACAAATCTTTGCATAACTGTTGGTTTCCTGAAGTCAGAGAACCCTCCCAAACATTAAACATCCTAGAGAATAGATTATCTTTCTTGTCTGATTTTCTAAGTAATTATTTTTGTTTGTTTTTCTCCTGGACGAAGTAGACTAGTACTCTAAGAGAGTCTGCTAAACTCTCTCACCTGTCTGGGGAAAATCATGACATTTAGGGTGTGGTATATTTGTCCATTTTAAGTAAAACAGCATAACCCAGAGCAAACACTGTTGGCTCCCATGCCGCACACCCAGAAGTGATAGAATGGATGGAGTGGGCCTGTGATGACAGAAGAGTTTGATTTGGAATCAGTGCTCTATTATATGTCATAACTGACTACCATGTAAGGACAAAGAATAAAATGAATTCATAAGGATCTTGAGCAAAGGCCACAAAGCCATAGTAACACTGTATTAAACAAATTGCAAAGGGGTTAGAAACACTCAAAGAAGAGAAAAGTGATGAGGTATGCATTCAACACAAAGGACATAAGAGCAGAAGTGACTTCCAGTGGTTTCAAAGCTTCAATTGGCTGTTTCAATTTCAAATGCCTTAATTTAACTGACCATTTTATGTTAGTTCATCTAATAAGTCAGATTGAATATAGTCATTATATTCAAAACCCCAGAGTTTATACACACACACAAACACACACACACACACACACACACCTTAAGTAGCTTTGTTTTAATTTGAAATATATATACATGCATGACTCAATCTTAAGATTCAAGACATCAGAGTTTTTTGTTTGAGTATACATGGTCTACACAGTGTTCAGCAGTGTCTCACTTAACTCTTGTTGTATTTCCACCGAAAGAAAGTAATGAGATTTTAAGGAAGTTTCCCAGAGTTCAATCAGGGTCCCAATCTTCACCCATCCTTATCCCCATGCCTTGTGTCATGTATCTTTACAGAGCCCCTTACCTCCTATAATTTTTGGGAGTCATAATTTCCTGCACTTTGTTTAGTCAAGTGACTTAATTTGACCAATAGGATATCTGCCAAGTTGACATTATTGACATTTTGAATATATTTTTACAATTTGTCTTCTCTATCTTGAAGTTCTTACATCACTATGAAAACTACTTAGGTTGGTGTAACCACTGAGACTATGGCCCCTAGCTGCCCTTCAGGTCTGGAATTGAACCCACAACTGTGGTTTCCAGCCAAACAAAGTACAGGCATGTGAGT